CTTACGTCTCTTCTCTGGGTCTCACCTGTAAGATCAGGGGCTTGATATTGGAAATCCTTTCCAGCTCTTCATTTGATGACCAACAAGGAGATGATGCTTGGAGAGACGAGGGCAGCAGCAGAACCCACCTCCTCCCCTGAGCCTAGAACTGACCCTCATCATATTCACCACCTCCCTCAGATGCAACCAAAACATTTGGCCAAATTCCATTATGGAGAGTCTCAGCAGAGTCATAGCACTCCCCTATCCCAAAGGAGGGCCCACTGACCTTCAGGACCGCTGAGAGCCTCAGTACTGCCAGCAGTTGACTTCTCTTGGGACCCAAATGAGGGAGCAAGGGGAAATGTAGAAGAAAATTCTCTTTAACCCTCTAAAGCTTGAGAGAGGGAAGCCACTGTAAAGCAGAACCATAGAACGAACAGACCCTGTCCCCTAACAATCATGAATAGTAAATGGTGCTGTAAAGAACCACGGCTAGTCAGGGATAGATAAAAATATCTCCAAGGGCTGGTCCTAGCTCTGCGACCTTCAACTGGGTCCTCACTGCTGCTAGGCAATCCTTCCAACCCTCTATAATTCACTATCCCACTCACCACAGCGGCTCTTCCAAACCTTTCCATCCGTTCTCAAACCTCTCAGGGCTCCTTCGCCCACCCTCCAAGCTGAGAACCTCGCCTAATATTTTACTGAAACCCCCCCAAAAAAAACCAAACAACCATTCACTGAGTTCCCTCTTCTCTCTTCCTCATCTCATATGCCTTCTGCCACTATCTCCTTCACCTCTGTGTCATATGAAGAGGTGGTCCTTCTTCTTTACCTGCACAAGAGATACCATTCCATCTTTCTAGCAGATTGCCTCCTCTATGCTCCCCATTGTCTCACTTGTATTGTTTTGTTTGGAGGCAAACAGGATTAAGTGATTTGCCTAGGGTCACACAGCTACTAAATGTCTGAGGCCAGATTTGAACCAAGTCTTCCTGACTCCAAGGGTGTCCTTCTATCCACTGTGTCACCTTGCTGTCCCATCTCACTTATTTTCAATCCTCCCCATTTCTGGCTGCTTCCCTACTGCTCACAAACATACTCATGTCTCCCTCATCCTCAAAAAACCCTCACTCAATCCTTTTACTCCCTGCTAACTATTCTCCTATATCTCTTTTGTCCTTTGTGGCTAAACTCTTTAAGCATGTCTACAACAGGTGCTTCCGCTTCCTCTCCTCTCACCTTCTTAACTCTCTCCAATCTGGCTTCCAACCTCATCATTACACCAAAACGGCTCTCTCCAAAATTACCAGTAATAGCTTAATTGCCAAATTCAATGGCCTTTTTTCCATCTTCATCCTTGAGCACTTTGCAGCCTTTGACACAGTCAACTCTCTCTTCAATACTCTCTTCTTTCTAGATTTTCAGGGTACCCCTCTCTCTTGGTTCTTCTTCGTACCCATCCGACCGCCCCTCCTCTGTTGCCTTTGCTGGATTTTCATCCATAGGTGTCCCACAGGGTTCTATCCTGGGTCCTCTCTCTTCTCCCTCTATAGTACTTCACTTGATGATCTCATCAGCTTCCAAGAATTCAATTATCATCTCTATGTCGATTATACTCTAATCTATGTATCCAGATGTAAGCTCACTGCTGACCTACAGTTTTGCATTTCAGACTGCCTTTCATCTCAAACTGGATGACTTGCAGACATCTTAAACTCAACATGTCCAAAACCTGAACTCATTAAATACACTGGACTCTGTTGTTCCATTAACAGGACGCTCTATCTCCCAACTTCAGGCATTTTCTCTAGCTGTCGGTCATGTCTGCTGGAATTATCTTTATCTCTGCCTCCTGGCTTCTTTCAAATCCCACCTTATACAAGAAGCCTTTCCCAACCCCTCAACCCACAAACCCTCCCCTCTTCCAAACTTCCTTATTACTGTCGAGGGCACCACCATCCAGCTCTCCAAGGTCCCAACCTAAATGTCATCTTCAGCTCCTCACAATCTCTCACCCCTGTCTGTTGCCAAGGCCTATTGACTTATCTACATTATTTTCTCTCAGATATGCCCCTTCTCTCTTCTTGACACCTTGACTACTCTGGTGCAGCCCCTCATCACCTCGTGCTTTGATTATTGCAACAGCCTGCTGGTGAGTCTGCCTGACATAATGCCCTCCCCACTCCAATCCATCCTCCCTTCAGCTGCCAAAGTTCCTTTCCTAAAGAGCAGGTTTGACCATGTCATACCCTCTCCCCACCACACCCACTCAGTAAACTAGTGGCTTCTAATACCTCTAGAATCATATATCAAATCCTGTGTGATACCCAAAGCTCTTCACAACCTAGGTCCTTTTTACCTTTACAATCTCATTCCCCGCCATGATCTAATGACACAGGTTCCTGGTTGTTCCACAGACTACAGATTCCATTTCTCTACTCTCAGCATCTTCTCTGGCTGCCCCGTGCCTGGAACGCTCTCACTCCTTTCTGGCTACTGGCTTCCTTTAAGTCACAGCTAAAATCCCATTGCACAGGACACCTTTCCCAAGAGAATGCTAACACCTTCTCTGCCTGATTATTTCCAGTTTATCCTGCATATAGCTTGTTTGTACACAGTTTTTTGATTATCTCCCCCATTAGACTGAGAGCTTCTTGAGGGCAGGAAATTGTCTTTTGCTTATTTCTCCAGGACTTCACCCAGCACCTAACAGGTGCTAAATACTTGTTGTCACTCTTTGTGACCTTAAGTTACCACCTCTCTCTGGGCCAGTTTCCTAGGATTCAGTCTTTCAATTCCGATACAGAATCGTCCAAGGCAGCACAGGTTAATGGAAGATCCAGATCCTGCCTCCAACATATACTGTGTACCTCAGGCAAGTCACTTTATCTATTTCCTCACCTGTAAAGAGGTTGGCAGCACTGGGTAGTGGAATATGGGTTAGACTTGGGAGTCCTGGATTTGAATCTGATCTCTGACTCTTGCTAGTGGCATGAAGCACCTGGACACATCCCTGTACTTCCTCAGCCTTTTTTTTCTTAATCTATAAAAATGAATAACTCTTGCTCTGCATACCTCAAAAGGCTGTTGTGCCATGTGACCCTGGGCAAGTCACTTAACCCTAACTGTCCCCACACAACACAAAAAAGGCCATTGTGACGCAAGTGCCTTGTAAATCCTGTTATAATAAACAGATTGAGCTCAAGAGAAGCTCAATGGAGACCTAGGCTATGTGGTAAATTGGCAAGAGCACTGGCTTTTCAGATGAGCACAAGGGTAGATGAACCGAGCCATCCTGGAGGCCCATTTCCCTCCTATAAAATGGAGTTGGTGTAAATGAACCCTAAAAAAATCCTTCAAAACCCTTCTAGTTCTAGATTCTAGAGAAGTGGGCCTTTTAAAATGGGCAGACATCCTCGTTGGCTCTCACCCCAAATCTAGGAAGGAGGTAGAGAGGTCCTAGAACCAGAGCATTTAGACTTGTATGGAGTCTCACCTCATTTTGCAGATGAAGAAACTCAAGCCTGGAGAGGGGAAAACGTAGCCAACATTTACATAGCATGACATACGGTTTCAAAGCATTTTCCAGTTATTCTTTCAGCTAAGTCTCACAACAGCCTTTTGAGGCAAACACAAATGCTTCGACAACTGCCACATTAAGTAGCAAGTAGCACAAGTAGGATTTGAACCCAAGGCCCTCTGAATCTAGAGCTATTTGCATTACATTCCCCACTTCTCTCCGCTTGGCCATCGGCACTTGGGTTCTACCAGGAGACCGCAGCCATGGGAACCATTGAGTATCAGGCATCAGTTAATGCTCCAGTTTCTCCACCCCCAAATCCCAAGGGAGAAGGTCCCAGGTTCCCAAGCACAGGAAAATAACTATAGGAACTGTGCACAAAAAACAGGCAGGTGGCCCTCAACACTCCCAGAATGGACAAAGGGTTATGGGGGATGAGGTCCAGGGCTCCACTCCAGGTCCCACCCACATCCCAAACGGCGCTTTCCCCACCAGCAAACAATTGCACCCAGCACAAGGTGGGTTTTTTTAAAACAAAAAAAGCACTTTATTTAACCAAAAAAAAAAACCCAGAAAAAAAAACAAAGAAAAAGGAAAGAAAAAAAGCACAATGCGCCTGCAGAAAACTATTTTCTTCTGTATTTTTGTTTTTGTTTTCTTAAAAAAAAAATGAACACAGGAAGCTTGTATTTTTCAATCACCATTATCAGGCTTTTACAACATCTATAGTGAACAACATCCGCTTCAAAATCCTACGGACAGAGAGAAAAAGGACAGACAGACAGCACCCAGTGGACACAGGGGGAGGTTTTGTTATCATTTATTTGTGAAGTTAAAAACGAGCGATAAAAAGTAAAAACTGCCATACAATTGTTTTTTTAAATTTTTTAAAGTTTTTCTTTGCCATTTTGTTTTCAGTTTCAATCTCCTCTCGAACAGATGAAATATGACAGACCAGTCCCAGGAATTGGAGAGGGCAAGGGATGGGAAGGGACGCACATCAGGAATTGCTACTCAAAGAGGGCAGGAAGAGAAGGATGGGACACCAGAGACCAAGGGGGTTCGAGTGGGCCTTGCTGTTTCAGAAGGGGGCAAGGGAGATGTTTTTCTATTTTTTTCTTGCAGCCCCAACACCTACTCCAAGGAATGTTCCAACTCTAACTAAAAAAAAAAAAAAGCAAGATGATTTTTTTCTTTTGAAAGTTTATTTTAAAAATAAGAAGGGGGCTGGTGGTGGTGATGTGTCTGTGGGGGGAGGGATGGATTGCCTTACCCTGAAAAAGGCAGTTTTAGGAAGGCAAGAGGGGAGGTAGGGAGGAAAGGGAGAAAGAGGTAAAAGAGGGAGGGAAAGAGAGAGGGAGAGAGGGGAGGAGGGGAGAGAGGGGAGGGGGGAGAGAGGGAGAGAGAGAGAGAGAAAGAGAGAGAGAGAGAGAGAGAAATTTGTATAGGTTCTATTTGTTTGCTTTTTGCAGAGATTTAGTTCTTCTATGGCCGGCTCAAAATGAGGAATCCAGAGTTTTGAGAGAAAAAAGCATGTGAGACACTAAGAGAAAGAGAGTGAGAACGAGCGAGAAGAGAGCGAGAGAGCGCAAAACACTCAGCAAGTGCTCTATCCGCCCAGTGGGGCCTGCTTCCCCCTACACCCCACTCCCTCCTCCCCAAGGCAGCCATCGCTCTCTTGCCAAAAACAAAACAAAAACAAAACAAAAAAACAAACAAAAAAAGATTTTCACAGATGAGGAAGTTCACATTCATTCGATTCATTGAGCCTGCGGAGAGGGAAGAGATAGGAATTGGTCACTACCAGGGGAAGGGGAGGAAGGGAAGAGGAAGCTAGAAGGGTCACCAGGACGGGATTAGAACAGCCTAAGGAGCAGTGTTTTTTTGGGGGGAGGAAAGAGAAGAGAGGAAGGCAGGGAACTCCCCCCAACCCTGTGGCAAATGCAGAGTGAATTTTTGCAGGCCAGAGGGTAGAGTTCAACTCCCTAGGCAAGTGCTCCAAAGTATGTATTTGAAATCAGACTCTCTGGCTCTTTGAACAAGAAGAATGAGAAACAACCACATAACAGGCAGAAGAGAGAGCGCGAGATGACTTTTCCTTCTCGGGGTGCACCCTCATTCAGAGGAGGGCGATTCCCGGCGCTTTACAACAAACATTGTTCAAGATCATGGTGTCCCCACAACACCCCTGTGAGGTAGGTTTGAGGGTGGCAATGATCGTCATGCCCACTTCCACAGACAAGACCAGGATCAGGATCGGAGGCGCGGGCACAAGAGTGACAGAAGGGGGGAGAGAAAATTCGCAGAAGAGACTGAGCCAAGGCGGAGTGGGGACGGGGAGCAGCAGCCAGGGAGGGGCAGAAAGGGAGACCCTGGCCCCTCCCTGGGACGGTCCCCTCTTCTCCGCCAGAGATGGTGCTGACCCCGGAGAAGGGGTGCCTGCAACACACACAATCACTCAGACTTGGGGGGAAATGATCATTGATAAAAAAATAATAAATCCATAACCTGGGGGAGGGGAGGAAAAAGGCTTTTTAAAACTCAAGTGGCCAGATTTACAGATTGAGAGAAACAGAGACAGAGTGAGTGAGAGTGAGTTAGTTGGCTGGGATGGCAACCAACATTCAAGCTATTTGCCCACCCCCCACCCACCCCAGGACCACCCACCAGTTCAAAAGTTCCACCTTGTATTTTTTTCGTGCTCTCCCCCAACATCACGACAGCGTTACACAGGAACAAGCAGGCTGGCGGAGGGAGGCCTCTTCTGTTTAACCTCTGGGCCCAGCGCACATTGTCCCCGTCTTGTGGGGACTCCCGGAGACCTCCGGCCACATGGCCCCCGATGCTGGCATCAAGGGCACACCCCGCAGGGGAAGGGATTTCCGGCGCTACCCACTAAGGCAGGATGGACGGTAGCCGGGGGTTGGAAGGAAAAAGGAGGAGGAGGAGGGTGGCAATTCCCACTTGCCTGCTGTCCCTGCTGTGTGGGTGGTGGCTGGGGGCCGCCAGGACCAGGGGTCTGTCCGTAGTAGGCGGCTTGCTGTCTGTAATATTCAGCCCAGGCAGCACTATAGTCAGGCTGGGAGCCTGGGGGGGCTCCAGGTCCACCACCAGTGGCCACTTGAGCTGTGGGTTGGAAGGAGGACAAAGGAGAAAATGAGTTCCATTTTATCAAGTCAGACCTCTTTTCCCTTTCAAACCCAGAATGAAGCAGATACCAGCTCACCTTGTTTCTTATAGTACTCCTCCCAGGCTTTTGTGTAATCCTGTTGGGGGGGAGCACCAGGCTGCTGAGGCTGTTGGCCTAAAGAAGAATGAAAAGACGGAGACCATCAAGGTCATGTCTCTTGCCAAATAGGAAACTCTTGGCCATAGGAGAAACAGCATCCATATATCAATCTACTCTTTTTGCTCCCTTGGTCACTGATGCTACTCTTACCCTTGAGAGGCACCCAATTAACCCCACCTCCTTTCTCAGTGATCCCTCCCCAGTCTTACCTATTTTTTTGTAATATTCTTCCCAGGCTTTAGTGTAGTCTGACTGTCCGGTAGGTGGGGGCTGTGGGGGTTCCCCCTGGGCAGGTGGGGCCGTGGGGGCTGGCGCTGGACCTGGCACAGGGCCTGGAGGCTGCTGGTAGTAGTGTGAGTAGTAGGCAGCCCAGGCAGCATTGGGATCTGCTGCTGCAGCTGCTGCTTTATCTGGAAAGTAAAGACAGAAGTTGAGGGAGAGGATAGGGGTGGGGATGTAGAAACCGAGCCTTCTTTCCTTCTCCTATAGCTAATTACTTACTTGGGTCATGAGGAGCAGGTGGCTGCCACTGTGGATAAGTGTTGCCCCAACCTTGGGGTGGGTACTGGTGTGGAGGGGGACCTCCCGCACTTAAAAAGATAAGGAAAAAGGTACTGATGAGTAACAATGAAACTTGGCTTTTGCATCAAGGATGGGGAATTAAGATGGCAGGAGATTCTGGATCTATCAAAAAATTGCTGTGTGACTTCAGGTAGGTTCTTTTATTAGATGTACATTTTCTCATTTATACAATGAGATCAAAAAAGTTACAGAGACCAATTTTGGCTAGATACAGTGAAAAACATGAATGTGACCTGTCAATAAATGGAATGGCCTACCTTACTAGATAAAGTTTCCCATCTCTAGGAATTTTCATACAGAAAACAAACAGCCCCATACTTGGGACACTGCCAAGCCAACACAGTACACCAATAAGGAAAAGAACACTGGGCTTACAGTAAGACATGGGTTGTTTTGGCTGTGACATTTACTAGAGGGTGACTCTGGATAAGTCGCTTAGCCTTTTAGATCCTGCTTCCTCCTATGTAACTCTAGCTGTATGAAAATAACACTGGCATTGCCATTCTCACAGGACCATCGTAAAGAAGCACTGTGGAGGAGATTGCCATTTGGGCTAGCTGACCTCTGAGGCTCATTTCAGCTCAGATCTATAATTTGAAAATCTCAAAGGGCACTTTCAGCTTTGACATCAAAAGGCTCTGAAAGTTATTTAACTCTTCGTTCCACCAAGAAGAATCAGTTAATAGCAAATATCAGAAGGTACTTCCATATGGAACCTCATTGATACAATGGACCTTAAAACCTGCCCCCACACCCTGATTCCTTCTCCTCTCAGATTCCTGGAGTCATAAAAAGATACTCACTGAGGAGGAGCTCCTGGAGGCCCCTGGTTGAAAGGTCCTGGGTTGAAGGGCCCCATTGGGCCAGCAGGACCTGGACCCCCAGGACCTGGTCCAACTGGACAGAGAGGACCCTGGCAGGAAAGGAAAACAAAGTCTGGGTTCAGTGACATAACTGCAAGGAGACACAGGCTGTGGCCCCATATAGTATTTTCCATAGCCTTATCCCCTGCTCCCACCTCAATCTTCTCTTCAATAAGCTGCTTGGCATGGTCAATTTGCTGAGGGGATCCCCGGATGATGAAGAGTTTGAAGTTAGGGTCCCCATTTGGTGGGAGCTGCCGAGAGATCTCCACAAAGGCGCCTGTTTGCTGATTTATGGCTTTCACATTCTCCCCACCTAAAGGAAAAGTGGAAGGAGAGAGCTCTGAGCACAGCTGACACAGGAAGAGGGTTTAAAAGGGAAGACAAGGCAGTGGGTAGTGACACTTACCTCTGCCAATGACCAGCCCACACTTGTGAGTTGGAATGGAGAAAGTCATCTCTCCACCAGGAGGCCCCCAGTTGCCCTGGCCTCGGCCTCGGCCTCTACCTCCAGGGGGCATGCCTGGGCCCCCGGGAGGTCCTGGGGGACCACTCTGTAAGAGATGAAGACCACATGAGGATCAGCATACCAAATGGTGATCCTACAATGAAGCAACAGGTACTATGGAGAGGGTTCAAATCCAAGTTCTGCCCTTTATAATCCCAAATGAATTAACTTTCCTTGGTACTTCAGTACTTCCTCATTTGTAAAATGCAGGGACTATACTATAGATGACTGCTAAAAGTCCCCATCAGTGCTAGATCCTATGATCCTAAGAGTAGACTAACACATGTAATACAACACAGCAAACGAAGGCTTAAACAAGTGTGACGTGATCTTTCAAGTTCCAAATCTTGCAGGGTGGGGTTGGATGTTTTGGCTCCCCATTCCCCCAGGTTTCCTCCAACCCACACTTTCGGGCCTACCCTACCCTACCCTTAAGCTCTGAAGGAGGTCATTGATGATTCGGGCAGCATGCTCACACCGGTCTGGGGGTCCCATGATGTGGGCGATCTTCTCAGGGCCTGTTCCATCATCTGAAACCCAACAACACAAAAAGATTCAGTTTTTAAAATAAGACCATGTGCCTGAAATACAAGGTTGTGACAGAGGAGACTAGGTTTTAAATTAAAAGAGACAGGTTTTTCTATTTGATACCCATATTACTTTTGGCAAAATTGCTTAACTTCTCTGGGTCTCCTTAAGAACTAGATAAATTCTAGGGTTCCCATCACCTCCTATGAAATTCCTATGAAATCTATCTGCAATAATGTAAAAAAAAAAAAAAAGAAAGAAAAACCTTGAAAATATGGAATTTTCAAACACTAGGGAAGAGATGTACACACTTTGACATATAATGAAGTGACAAACATTAAAATGAAATCATAGTTAAGTCACATAGTCAAGAAAGCAGCACCAGAACATTTACACACCATAACACAAAGAAATAACAATAAAATAAGAAAAAGTCCACAAGACGTGTTCTTTTACTTAAATTCATACATACCCTTTAAAGACAAAAGGCAAAAAATTTGGAGCTTATGTTTTTATGTACAATTGCTTTCATTTGTACATGGATTATTTGCTAATGTTTACTAAGTTGAAAACAACTTTTCTTGGGGGCAGCAAGGTAGCGCAGTGGATAGAGCACTGGCCCTGAAGTCAAAATGCGGCCTCAGACCAAACACTTGACCCTGCGCAAGTCATTTAACCCAATTGCCTAAAAAAAAAAAACAAAAACCCACGAACCCCCCCCCCAAAAAAAAACAACTTTTCTTTTTAAATCTTCTCCAACACCACTTGTCACAGAAGGCAGGGACTATGTCATTTCTGACCCCTCCCTCTCTGGTGGTTGGCCCAGCACCATTTGCTCACTTGTAGAGATGATTAATTAGGGTATCTGATGGCAAAGCTGGAGGTCCCTGTCTCCCAGACACAACATTCACTCCTCATTACCAGGGTAGACATGGATAATCCCACAAAAGAGAACTGGGCCAGTTAATGTAAAGCAATTAACAGGTCAACTAATGGGTTCATTCTCCATCCCTGCCCCACAGCAATAACTCTGGATCTTAAACACTGTATTCCTTTCCCTAAGAAATATTAACAAGTCAGGCTAAGGGCAGTCTCAGCCCCAGGCAGATCTGCCATTCAAAGGAAGAGAGGAAATGATCTGAGAGCTAGGGTCAGATGCAGGTGGGCAACTATTAAGCATGGACTAAACAAATGGAGTCTACACTGGGTCATGGTGTCATGGCCCACTGTCACACGACGAGGGAAGTTACATGAGACATATACTGAAGGAGAAAAAACATTCCTGGTGGAATCTGGGAGTCAAGGGCATTGCCATGCCCCCAATCTACCTCCAAATATCTGAAGAGGAAAAACACAGGAAGTCACAGATAGGCGATTTCAACCCAGTGTAAGGATTTTAGATTTGATCTCTCTAAGATTCCTTTCTAGGTCTAGGAATTAGTTTATGAGGAAACATTTTCTAATAATCTGAGCTACTTAATAATGGAACTGTTTCTAGAAATAATTGAGTCCCTGGTCACTCCAGGTATTTAAGAAGATGGATGACCACAGGTGGGATGCTTTGGAGAGTCCTGCCCTGGGTACACGCTGAACTACAAAGCCTCTAGGGTTCCGTCTAATCTAGGCTCTGAGGAGCTAGTCTACACATGCAGTCTTAACCTGTTAATGGGAATCTGACCTTGTTTGAACTGTATCCGGACACCAGCATCACTTTGTATTTTTTTGATCATTTCTCCACTCCGGCCAATGACTACACCAACAGAATGTCTGGGCACTGGCACCTGAGTAAAGGACAAGGAAAGGAAAAGCAATGTGATCTACATGTCTACGTCTCTGCTGCCCTCTGCTGCCAGGCAGAAAGGATACCCTTAACAACACCTCCTCCCACCCCCGACCCTGGTGACCCAAGACAAAGCATTCTTACATCTATCCCACCACCAATCCTGGATCCATATTCATTCCGGTCCCCAAAGCCTCCTTGGTCACGTTCTCGGAGGATATCCATCACCATCTCACAGGCTTGCTACAACATATATGGTACTCATAAGCAGCAGCAGGACAGAAACTGGCTCTTTCCTTAATTACTTTTTTGTTCTCCCCCAAACCCCATCACACCAACAGAAGACATAGCTGTCTACTGGATCCCAGGAGAATATCCATTCCGTCCTCAGCCGACCCTTAACAATACTGATGGGTGGTAGGTAAAATCAGATCCTAACACAAAAGTAAAGTGAAGGGTAGGTATATAGGGAAAAAACAACTTGGCAGGGATCTAAGAGCCAACTACTCCAGAGGGAAAACCCAAAATAAACTGAAACTAGGCCAGGGGACCTTTGGGGTACCAAGGCCAAAGAGCTGGGGCAATTTTTATCTTCTTATATTCAAGGAAGTCTGAACTGAGGAAAATACCCAACCCCTATCCTTAGCCATGATCTTTACAAGAACCATCTCCATTGTAGCTTGAGCTCCACCTCCCCTTTACAACAGCTGCCTCCTTCTGGCCAACCCATTTATAGCTGTTACGTTAAAATCTCACCCCTTCAAGTATCCCTGACCACCCCTTTCCTCTCTTTTCTTTACCTGTACTTTATAAGGGTCCCCGATAATCCGGAGAGGTTTGTCCACATTGGTATTTTGGGATCCATCTTGGATTAAAATCATCTTCACTCCAGCTCGCTCCTGTACAACCACCAATGCCATAGTTAATGATGGGCTCTTGATCAACAGGTCAGGGCAAGGGAAAGGGCTGGCAATGTCATAGGATTCAAGACAAAAGGGTTCAGGGAAGGCTAAGTGATAAGAGGGCTCAGAGTCTCTGCTGAATGGTGGCAGCGATCAATGCCAAGCCCTACAGTACCGTTCAAGGTAAACCTTCCTGAGAAGGGGGAGGGGACTAGGTCTGGAAGAGAGCTGTCCTCAGGGTCACTCTCACACCTGCAGCTGCTTAATGGTCTCCCCGCCTTTGCCAATCACCAGTCCCGCCTTCCCTGCAGGAATCATGATCTCCTGCACTGTGCCGTTCTGACCCCCATTTGAATTATCATGGAACTGTCCTGGAGGGCCACCTCGGCCCCGAGATACAATGTCATCCAGCATCATCTTTGCCTTCCTGTGGAGAGAAGAGGGATATGCTCTCATGTAGGATATGCCAATTAAGTGCTTATGTTTCTAACACTCCCTCAGCCTAAAAACTAGTTAAGTAGTATCTGGTTTGTGTGTCTCCTGGCAGATAAAATCATCAAGGAATACAGGTGTTTAAGGGAGAAGATAGTCAGTCATTGCTGAAGTATTTGAACCAGCAAGATATAGAACTCGGGGACGTCTAACACAACCATGATCGACCACATTGACTGTTATAGGTAGGAAAAAAATCTAACATCCAGAGACCTTCTTGTTCTGAATGGCAAAAAGACCCAGAGAAACACTGTAAGGCTATCTATCCCCTCATCCCTCCCATCCCAAAAGCCACAGCAATATTCATTCATTCATTCATTACTGAGAAACCCTAAGCACATGATCTGGATGTATTACCCTCCTACAAATAGGCAACAAAAACAAAGTACGTACTGCACTGATTCCGGGGCTCCTGTCAGTGACACACTTCGCTCTGGTAAGCCACCACTGTCTGAAGAAGAAGAGGGACATAGAGTCAGGGACCAAGGTCTCTGAAAAAAAAAGAAACTTTCCCTGATCCAGGTAAAGATAGAGAAACTTTTTGTAAAACCCTATGAAAGGCCTGAGGCATAAGTTTAATCTGTGTGAGGAGTGGCTAATTGAATGACCAAAAGCTCTGGGTTCTTGCTCCTTGGACTGCTTGACAATTATTCCCACAAACAGAGCCTAAAATGAAGGTTGGTAAGGTTAAGTTTGTTTGAGTGGTTTCTTTTCTTGGTTGTGAACCAGCCTCTAGGAAGTTTTGTGGCCATGCAAACTGGAATCCCGGGAGCATAGGCTTCCATATCAAACTTCAAAACTGAATATTTGAAGGTGAAAGTGAACTGAAGAAGAGCTTGTTCTTGGGCATCCTGGGAGAACCGGGGGCAAAAATTGCTACCAGCTTTGAAATTTCTAAGACTGCTTTATGGTTTAAGTCTCAGAGGACCCTTGTTTTTGCTGTAGTAGGAACACCACCTTTGAGGAACAGAAATATACATTTAGGTTGGCCACCCATTCAACCTATAGAGCAAGTAATTCTAGTTCAGATATCTGTTGTTCAGTCATGTCAACTCTTCATGAGCCCATCTGGGGTCGGTTCACATATACATTGGACTACATGAACTCTGAGACAGTAAGGGAGTGAGAGGTGTAGGGGTGTGTGTGTGTTATGTTTCAGAAAACTGCATGACAGGGACTAGAAAATGGGGACAGCCAACCAACATAGTTCTAAAAGGCAAAACACTTGCTTGCATTCAATAGAAACTTGGGTTAATGCACTCCTTGACTACAAGACTTGGTAATCAATGAACTAGTTGTAGATCCTCACAAGGAGCCTTCTCATACCTGGTGAGATCTGTACTTTGCAACCTGAGTCCTGCTGGATCTTGTTGATCTGTTCACCACCTCTGCCAATGACTATATTGGGTAAAATTAAAAAGAAAAAATGTAGGCAATAACTCAGGGAACCTAGAGCTCATGAGGGTTTTGTTTTGTTTTGTAGTACGTATTACCCTCCCCCATCTCACATCTTCAGGAAAGAGGGCAGCAGTCACTCCAAAGAGCTACAGTGTCCAGAGAAGATTAGGGTGGGGTGGGGGTTGGACGGGGGAAGGGCACAACTAAAATGAGAACAAGAGACTCTTTCAAACCAAAGACGTCTGACCTGGCACAATCTCACAGGAAGCTGGCCCTCAGAAGCCAAGATAATAGGGCCCCTGACCAAGGTGAGGCTGGCAGCTTCTATACCCCACCCCTCTCCCAGCCACTCCACTCTAGCTCAGGCCACACTTACTTAGTCCCACCATGCCATCAGGGACACGGTACTCTTCCGTCATTGAAGACCTGAAAAGGGATAAATGGGGAGATCACAGATTCAAATGTGAATAGATAATCTGAACAGAAGATCTGAGAGGTCACCTGGAAAAAGAGCAGCTGCCCTGATACAGAGAACTGTAGGGACTGCTCAACTCAAAAATACACGCACCAGCCAACCTACACATTGAGAAGAACTTCTTGAGGTACTACTGGATGCCTACATAAAGGCAAGGAGAACATCAGAGTGATGTGGGTACCTAGGAAGTCTCAAGCCATGGCACCATAGACCATGATATCAATATGCCTCTTCCGCCCCCCTCCCCAGATCAGAGGCTGCCCATATGTCCTTGGGCAAATAAGGTCACTTTATCAAATGAGATAACATGTAAAGCTCTTTGCTAACCTAAAAGTGCCATATAAATGCTATTATTATTCACCTCTCTAGGGTCTATTTCCTCCTGTGTAACATGAGGGGGTTGGATAAGATGATCTCTAAGATCGCTTTCAGCTCTTACTCTATAGTTCTGTGACAGGTTCATGGGACAACCCCTAGAAATATCATTACAAAAAACAAGCTCTCACAGAAGACAGATAAGAAATACTTGTATCAACCTCTTTCTCAGTTCTCCCACCAGAAGAAGGAAGGAACAACTGAGCCCACACCTCCCTGGAGCCAATAAAAAGTTACAAATTTCTTCCCCCACAAAACTCATGGACAAAAGTGTAAACAAAGAGGAAATAAAATTTCAATTTTAATTTCCCTACCTAATCTTTCAAAGAAGTGCTAAGATAAAATAATCAAATCCACTAATTTGAATATTCTAAATAACTGAAAATTCTGATAGGTAGGTCTCTGTTGGCAAATCTGAAGGAATAGTTAGGGGTGGAGAACAAGAAATTCTTCAAACTGTGGCTTACCTGGGAGGAGGATGGATAGGCCCAAGCTGAGAACTGAGAGCTGAAAAAAAAAATCAGTAGTATTGGTCTGGTGTTAACTGGTAGACAATAAAACCAGTAGTAATTCTATAGCATTTTAAGGTTTACAAAATGCTTTCCTCACAACACCGTGAAGAAAGGAATGTACGGAGAATGTGCTCCATTTAACATATCCCAAATCCACTACACTGTATCCTTTGCAGGTGCTCAGGAAATGTTTGGGAGCTTGAGGATTCGACTCTTAGGATCTAACTTCCCAACAGTCCCATCTTAAAGGAAAGTTGATACCTGACAAATACAAAGACTACTTTCTGCCCCAGCCCCCTGCCCAAATATGGAACCCCTCCTACACCACACCAAAATGGACTTACAGTCGCCTTGGGCTGCCAGTTTCTTGCTCTCAGGCTGATCTGTGGAATCGAGAAGATGTTAGATGCAGACTCTACCCACTGCCCCTTCAAAAACAATGTTAATAACCACATGTTTTTAGGCACAGAGATCTGCACATTACCCCCTCCCAAATCTTTGAGAGACTGACAATAGACTGAGAAGACCAAATACCATAAAAGTGTTGGATTCTCAACCCTGCCATCAACTCCAGAGCTAAAAAAGCTCTTTATAACAAGTGAACAACGATTTCAGGGACAGTCAGAGCCACTGAAAGCACTTCCTGCTTGGGAGGAGATAGGCCTTAGTTGGAGCAGTAAGAATGTTGTTTCAGGATGCAAGAGTAACCTTGGCTTACTATCATGGCTGCCACTGGTAACCGTGAGTATGTATCTGGTACCAAACTCTAAATCAGACCTCAACAGAAATTATTCATGTTTTTGCCATGTCTCATGTGGGACAAAATTTTCTAGTAGTTCACAACTATACCAATTGTCTCACGCCAACCCAAAATGGACAATCTGCTATCTTAGGACAACAAGAGGAAATAAGAATTAACACAGAAGCTAGATCTGCTGAAGCTTTTGCAGAAAACAGTTTTTTAAAAATAACAAAAAACTCAAACATATTCAAGCCACACAACCATCACCTCTCTGTCTTTCTCTCCTCTCCCCTGAAGCTATACAAATAAGCAGTTACCTCCATCTTCCAACTGTCTCTTTTGGCCCCCAAACCCAAAATCTGGAGTGCTGTTATTGACCGTGGTAGCTGCATCACCTCCAATTTTTGCTGCTATCTGAAAATCAGTTAAGAACAAGAGAATTAATACCAAAAAAGACAAGAAAGAAAAGAGGTTCCTCTTTCATCAGTAGTCATCAGTCTTCCCAAAATATCACTTGCTACTTAATGTTAAGATTCTTTTGTTGACTCCTACTGACTTTAAAGAGCCTTTTGGTGAAAATATAATGGAAATAACTTTTAAGACCTCAAATTTGAGAATTCATCTGAAAACTCAGTAATTCCCTCTTTTTCCCCCTGGTAGTACCTGAATCTAGAAAACTGCTTCCAGGTCAAACAGAAACTGTAAGGACCTGAAGAACCCCTTGTATTGCTACTTGGTCCTTTCACTAAGGTCAGGGCTGGCCCAACAGGCCCCCTCCTTCCTCCTTGATGTTCCCATATCAGCAAGAACCTAAATGTATATTTCTTTTCATTCCTCAAAGGTGGTGTTCCTACTACAGCAAAAACAAGGGGTCCCCTGAAACTTAAACCATAAATCAGTCTTAGAAATTTCAAAGCTGGTAGCAATTTTTGCCCCCAGTTCTCCCAGGATGCTCAAGAGCAGGCTCTTCCTCAGTTCACTTTCACCTTCAAATATTCAGTTTTGAAGTCTGATATAGAAGCCTGTGCTCTTGGGATTCCAATTTGTATGGCCACAAAGCTTCCTAGAGGCTGGTTCACAACCAAGAAAAAAACCACTTCAAACAAACTTAACCTTACCAACCTTCATTCTAGGCTCTGTTTGTGGGAATAATTGTCAAGCAGTCCAAGGAGCAAGAACCCAGAGCTTTGGTCATTCAATTAGCCACTCCTCACACAGCTTAAACTTGTGCCTCAGGCCTTGAAGTCCTTCAAGAGCCCACTCAGGCAAAGCTTGGTAGCACCTAATCCTCCTCCTCCCACCACTGCTATGCCCACAAACCACAGAGGCAGGCATGTGGGCGTTACCCTAACGGGACAGCCCTGGGTTTTCATTAGTTCTGGAACCCATTTCCTTCCCAGAGGTTGGTACTTAGTCCCATGTGGAAGACAAGGTTAATTCTATCAAGACAAGATGTTGTCACATCTTTCCCAAAACACCAAGCTGGAAGGGGGGTGGGGGTGTGGGGTAAGAGGAGTGGGTCACCCATCTGGGAGTGCTTTAGATTGCTGCTTGCAAGGACTCGAAGGCTAAAATACTTTCAGCAGACAAGGCCACCTTCCCCAGCAGCCACTTTTTGTAAATGTGAACCCCACACCCCCATCACATATAAGTGGCCCATTTGAGGTGACCCACAGATACTGTATTCCCTCCACAGGGTCCAGATGAAAAACAAGAAGGGACTCATTCTTCAAATAAAAAAAGTCAAACGTGTTTCTACTGTGCAGAAACTAACCATGACAATGTGCCCCCAAAGAGAAAACATTAGAAGCAGTTGGATACTCCAAGCCAGAGTTACAGACTTTCAAACCAGATATCCCATTCTAGGGTCCCAAAGCCCTATAGGTGAGCCCCACCCATGCCCAGCTCCTAAGTTCTGTAAACCCAACAGAGTCACTGCAGAGAAAGCCTGGGAGCTATGAAAGAAGAGGATGCCAGAAGGAAGAAGGGGTGAGGCGGGACTGTGCCCCTTCCCAAGTCTCTTCCTCCTCCCACAGAGGAGAAAGAATGAATGGGAAAGAGTCACTGCACCCACTCCCACTCCCCCCACGTGCCAAAATGTAAGAGAGAAGGTCACAGTGCCCCTTCCCACACCTCACTTTTGCCTCCCCGCACACTGACACAATGAATGGAGAAGTATGAGCACCCCTTTCCCTCCGGGGTGCTCAACGGGGTGGGGGTGGGAGATTACTGCCCCCTCCCCCTTTTCTCACTCCTGGGAGAAAGCGGCAATTAATGAGGATCTCTGCGCTCTCTTCCTCTTCACTTTCCCCCGCCTCCAAAAGTGCAGGAATGAGGAGGGCCGGGCCCCGGGCCCTGGCCTGGTCAGACTCCAGTGGCCAGGCCCCCTTCGAGGACCCAGCTCCCAGCTCCGGTCCCCAGCCCCCGCGGCCCCCACGTGCCCCCCTACCAAGCCCCGCGCGCGCGCGCACATGCCCCCTCCTCAGCCCCCCCACGTGACCCCGGCCTCGCGCTCCCTCCTCCCCCCGCCCCCCGACGCTGCCACCGCCGCCGCCGCCTCCTCCTCCTCACCTGCCGGGCCCGCTGCACAGCATCGGCGAAGGCGTCCTTGCGGATTCCCGGGGTTCCCCCTCCGGGTGGTGGGGCCGAGCCGGGGCCTGGCCCTCCGCCCCCTCCACCTCCCCGGTCCCCGGCGCCCGGCGCTCCCGGTGGCGGCCCCCCGGCTCCCCCGGCGCCAGCCCCGGCTCCGGCTCCGGCCCCGGCGCCTCCTCCTCCTCCAGCAGGCGGCGGCGGCCCCGGCGGCGGCCCCCCAGTGCTGTAGTCCGACATGGCGGCCGGGCAGGGCTTCCCCTCAGGGGGCGGGGGGGCGAACGGGGCTCAGGCGACGCGGCTGGGCCCGGGCTGAGGCGGCGGCGGCTCAACGCGGGAACAAGGCCTCGCTCCACACGGTCGCAAAGGAGTCTGGGAGCAGAGCGGCTGGGGAGAGGAGGAGGGCGGGGGAAGGGCGGCGGGGCGAGACCGGAGGGAGGGAAAGGGGGAGGGAGGTAAGCCCGTCAGTGGTGCGAAGGACAGCACCACCCAGCGAATGGCCAGGGGTCTCGACGTTTGTAGAGCCAATAGTGTGCCCTGAATCTGGCAGCGGAGGCCGACAATTCGGGAGGGCCCCGGGAAGGGAGGGGTGGGGATGGGTGGGCACACGGTCAGCCAATCCAAAGGAGACGGGGACATGGGGGGAGGGGAAGGCGGGAGACGCAAGGAGATGGACAGGTCGCAGAATCAATCCACGGTGACTGTTCCGTGAGAAGGTGGGGAATTCCGGGCCGCCAGAGAAGATGAGGGGGCCAATTAGGCGAGCATTCCAGAATCGGGAGGCGGATTCGAGAGAAGATTGACAACTACGACGGACGGGAAGGACGGCCAAAATGAACTCTCCAGTGAGCGCCAGAAGGGAGGGGGCTGGCTCCCAAAATGATTGATATGTACAAGATCCAATCAGATTCACATAAGATTAGGGGGCAAGTTGGTATAATGACTGCCGTGAATGCAAACCAAACTCTTACGAATAAGGGCTTGATGAGGTGGGTCTTTTTCACGATTGACAGCCACGGTAACCACTCTCCTTTCAGCACTCACACTGCCAAACAAAGTCAAAGGTTAAGTGGCAGAGGCGGGACTTGCTCGATTGACATCGCTCCGAACAAGTAGCAAGGAGACAGAAGGAAAATCAATTTTGATGAGAGCCCGTGGAGGGATCGCTGCGACAGGGCGGCCAAACCTCCAGACGGCAGGCAAGAATTGGCTGAAGGGGAGTGACTGACTGCTGTGCTGACCAATGGGATAAAGAGCTCTTTTCCCTCTTCTGCGCTGTAGGAATCTTCTGACGCCTGGGGTCTGCAGGGGAGTTCGAGCACGTGGTCTGGGGCGACAGGTCCTCAAATGAAGCCAGGCATGGGATGCGAAGCAGAGAAAAACCCAGGATGCTGGGCCTCCAGCTCCCCAGCCACAACCCAGGCACTCCAAGAATCCTTGGGCCAAAAATGACTTGGACTAAATTCAGTGACTTGGGCTGAGGGCCCCCAAGCCAGCCAACCCCCATCCCACCTCCTTCCACTCAGGGCATACTGAATCCTCAAGGACCGGTCTCCTTCCCTGTAACCACCAGGGCGTCCTAGGCCACCAGCTCTGTGCATACAATTGACAAGCATTTAGGAACAGGCTGGGTGTCCGAGGCCAAAAACTGAAGGAGCCCTGCCTGTAGGGAGGTTACATTTTATCAGAGTGTATGTTGCCTCTTTGAACTTCCACCCACTGTTCCTAGCTCTGTATGGGGCCCAGCAGAATAGTCTCCTTGAATCCTAGAAGACAGCTATCGTGCCTCTCCTAGATCTCTTTTTCTCTCTGCTTAAGTATCTCTAATTTCTTCAGTGGATCCTCCTATGGTTTTGACTTGAGATCCTTTCTTCCCTTTCTCTGGATGGCTTCAGCACTTGAATATCCATCCTTCCTAGAATGTATTGTAAAGAACTGAACATTCCAGATGTGGTATGACCAGGGCAGAGGACAGTGGACCATCACCTCCCCAGTCTTAGACAAAAGGCTTCTCTTAATGCAGTCTTATATTTACATCACCTTTCTTGGCTACCAGATCACCCTGTTGACTCATGGTTAAGTTTATAATCCAGGAAAACCCCCAGATCTGTTTTAGACTATCAAATCACATCTTTCTCTCCCCCTCACCCCCATCTTGTACTTGTGAAGTTGATTTTTTAAAGCCAAGTACAACACTTTTGCACTTATCCTCATTATTACTTTTCATCCTTTTAGATCTGGTGCCACAATCTAGCCAAGAGGCCAGCAAAGTACAGCCAGCAGGAGGACTGAATCCAACCCCTTGATTGCTTGTGCATGAGTTAAGAATGATGAACGTTTATTTTAACAATAAAAATCTATTATTTTTATTTTAAATTAATATTTAAAAACCCAATCTTTGCTGGCAGAGCCGCTGCATCCGTCAAGATTGTTTTGAATCCTCACTAAATCATCCCTGTTTTGTGCCATGTGCAAATCTCTCAAGCCTCCCATCTGTCTTTATCCAAATGAATGATGAAAAATGTTAATTAGCACAAGGCCAAACACTGGTAGCTGGGTGGTGGTATCCCACGGGAAACCTCTTTCCTACTTGATATTGAGCTATTAATGACTGCGCTTTGGGTCTAGCTATTCAATGAGTTCCAAATCTAGCTAATTGTACTGTCATTGAGCCCATGTGTCTTCATCTCTCCCTTAAGCATAGCAGGTGAGAACCTGCCAGATGCTTTGCTTAAGTCTAGTTGAAGGAGGTAGGTAGGTGGCTCAGTGGCTAGAGTACTGGGCCTGGAGTCAAGATTAGACCTGAGTTCAAATCCAGCCTCAGACACTTGACACTTACAAGTTGTGTGACCTTGGGCAAGTCACTTAACCCCAATTGCTTCACCAAAAAGAAAAAAAAAGTCCTTAACCAGTATGTGGGAGATTAAAATACTTTGGTCACTAAGTAAAAGCAGATAGGCCCCACAGGAAATATTTTGTGTTTCTTGAAGAAAATCAGCCATGTCCTGTGGAGCTATGGACAATACAACAAGCCACTTTAGAAGCTCATAGTCCATTGTTAAGCAGGGCAACTTTAAGAAATTCCAGGCTTGGAGTGCACCCAGAAGGTGCATATTCTGGGCCCTTATTGACCAGATGTCAGCCTTGTGAACTATAAAATATCAGAAGATCTGGAGTCCCTGTGCTAATGGGAATTAGTGGTAGCATACCCTCAAATTCAGTGGCTAGCAGGAATTGAGAGACACAAAGAGGAAAAATTAGGCACAGGAAAGGTACCTTCAGGACTCTACTTCAGGTACTGTCTCCTTGGATGCCAGCAGGGAGCTAGACCTCAAAGGACTCCATGAGGACTCTGCAAAGGGAGTTTTAAAAGGGCTTCCACTAACTAGGGCTGGGGTTTACCCTCTGGCTGCATTGGCCCTCTAAGTTTGAGCCCTGTCTCCTCCTGGGACCTTCTATGCAAGAAAAAAGTTATTCCCTGGTTTGGGCAGAGGTTTTTAAACAACCATCCTTGCTATACTTTCTCAGTAAACACCCTTTATGGAGAAACTAATTGGTGTTAACTAGTTGATATTAGGGAGCAAATCAGATTAGGCCTTGTAAACAATAATATCAGAAACCCCAATCCCTAAGGTTAACTCTTACAACCCTAACAGGAGGATTAATTAGCTCCCTTCTGGGGATCCAACCCCCTAATAGAAGTAGTTGAAATAGCCCCAGAAGGGGTGTTAACACTAGCTTTAGAGGATGACTGAATCCCCCTGGGGGGGTGCTATGTTTGGGAAATCCACTAGGTGGTGCTCAAAGGTTGAGTTAGTCCAGGTCATTCAATGGAGCATGCCCAAATATAACTTAAAGCTAGTTGTCCTAGCGTTAAAGTGTGTCCAACTGTGTGTCCCTAGTACCCTTGGGATTCACACTTAAGGTTGAGGGGAATGAATACATTTTTAAAAATAAGCAATTCTCTTCATGTTTATGTCTCTCACTCATTTGGATTCCCATCTTTCTTCTCAGTGAATCCCCCAAAGAACTTGTTCATGACACATATAGCTTAACATGCATTTTCTACTATTAGAAAGAAAATAAAGTATCACATTATTAGTACCAGAGTGGTTGAGTGTAAGCCACTGGTGCTACTTCTAGAATAGTTTGAATTTCTAGATCTTTCCTAGACTGTGTCTTTGTTCTCTAAGTGAGTGGAGGATAGCTGGGTGCTATCAAGCATTCTCAACCTCAAGGTCATAGTGGGAAAAGAGAGTAATTTTACTGCAATCCATCTTGTCCTGCCCCCTTATGTAGCTGGTAGTGATCATTGATTCTACCTACTGGACACAGTTATAACCTTTAGCCATCACGTCAGTTAATGGTCTCAGAAAGAGATTCCTCTTGGCTGCTCACATGGCTTAGTTTGCTTCTCTACATCTCCTGAAGTTTCCCAAACAGACAGATACTGAAGAGCGAATCAACCACTCAGAACTTCCTGGATCTGGCTGCATATTGCCTCATGTAGCATGGGTTCGAGGCCATACACCTTCTCTCAGTGTTGATACTGTTCCTTGGAGGTCTACGTTAGCCAGAATGAGATGCCAGAAAGCACTGGCTAGACCTTTAAAAAAAAAAAACCCGAAAATTTTATTGCAGCATGACCCGGACAACTTCCCTTCAAGATAGTCCTGAGATTATTCTGCTCCAAACTTGGGTCTTTCTTTGGTGCCTAAAGATTTGGAAAATTGCAGGGGAGAATACGCAGGGAAAGGTACGAAGGGACATTGTGACAAAGGGGAAAGAATACTGACTTGAGTCAGAGAACTCAGGTTCAAATCCTGCCTCTGATGCTTGCTAGCTATGTAACTGGACAAAGCGCATAATGTAACCTCCTTGGGCTCATCTCATCTGTAAAATGAAGGAGTTAGACTAGCTGTCTCCTAAGGTCTTTGTGGTTCTTCATGGATAAATTATATCTACAATGTTCCCCTGGTCTACCACTGTCAAGAAAGTAAATAAAGTTAGTCAGAGATCCAGAGCTAAAAGGGACCTTGAGGGTGATCTAGTCTACACTTTTCATTTTAAAGATGAGGAAACTGAGGCCCAAAAAGGTTAAGTGATTTGCCCATGGCCTTTTGGGTATTTTAGTAACATCAGGTTTTGAATACAGGTCCTGTGATTCAAAGTTCAGCACCTTCTCTATGGCACCCCACTGTTTGATGTGTTTTGTCTGACATACCTTATTCTTGATGAAGCCATACTGGTGCTTTGGAATCATTACTTCCTTTTCTAGAGGCTCACTAACCAACATTTCAAGAATACAATTTTTTCAAGAATAAAATTCAAGCTCACTGGCCTT